CGGTTACGGCTTCCTTTGCCACCAAGTCCATGCTTCCGAAAACAAATAACTAACTAATCCCATACCCGACATGGAATGGTAACCGGACGAGAGGCCGCGGCTCGCCACATGGTTAAGCCGTCTTATCGGCTATCTTCTCCCCTGGGATAAATATGTAAATCCCATCCTATCCTGAGTTTATGTCAAAAATGTTGATTCACAAAGATAGGTTGAACCAAACAATGGCCTCGTAAAATATAATTGCTGTATGATTGGAATCGCGAGCTTTTCTGCCCGTACTGCGCTGACCAGTGGATAGTTAGCGCGGTAAATTGCGTGACAAGATGTAAAATATCTCTTCGCTTTGCCGTCGCTACAATCTCCCCACAAATGAGACACACGCAGGCTGTTTTCATGGTGATAAAAATATATCCACCTCCCATTCATCGTGAAAATGGTGAGTCAGGTTGATGGTTACAATAATTAATATAGTGACATTCCCAGTTTCCATATAAGTGTGATTAATACAAGAATAGCGGGACAAAATTTAATTGATGTAGCTTACTCAGAAGTGCCGTTATTAATCTTAGTTTGGAACAGACCTGCGGGCGACTCCCATAGTCTTCGCGGGCGACTTGGTGCCCGCGGGCAACGCGTTGGTGATCCCTGATTTAGTCAGTCTCACAAATGTCTTTTCCCATCAAAAGTTGTATTTTCGGTTGCTATCGTATGATTCGGCATGGTGGAGGGTTTATTAAAACTAAGCAGTAATTATTGAACGATAGAACTAGAATGTACACCCGACACAATGCAGAGAAGCTGACGTCTATATAAAATGTTTATAAAAATCAAAAGACCAAATAAAAAGAAATTTAGGGCAGACAGTAATATTTCATAATTCATTCTATACAATGTACGGTGCCGCATTAGTATGTGATATACCTGTATATTTCTACTTAAACTTAGGATATACCTCAAAACATTCTCCCTATGGATTACTATTGAAAAAAGTTGCTTAATGAATGCTCAATTTGAGATCGTTTTGCAGTGTTTCCGATTATAAACTGGTTTACATTTTTAAACCATCATTTTTGAGAAAAAAAAAATATCCAACCACGTGCCACTTACAAGTACTGTCGTACCAATAGCAAATTTTAGCCTAGTCTACCGCAGCGCTCGTGAGACTAAATTTTGATTACTGTAACCAAACTAAAGCTACTCGAAAGACATTATGACAATTAAGTTATTCAATCTACAACTATATTCTGGAAACATACCGGTAGCTAAAAACTGACACGCAAAACTATAGAAACGAGGGAATGGCTTATTGTTGCACACTAAATCTTGTAATTCGTAAGATTTTAACAATAGACACTAGAATAGTCATAAAAAGCCAATCGGAAATTCTGACGCCAAACGTGTTTTGAAAAGCCAGAGTTGTTAAATTTGGCGTTAAAAAAGTCAATATGGCAATCCTGTGCAGCAGCACGTTGATCATGCGTTGCTAAAACCACTGTTGACATGATATGACGCCTTATCATATTAACCATTTTATCGTATTAACCATTAACCTGATTTTCTAAGTATTATGGCATAAATCATTCATTTTGTATAATGTATGATATAATTAACGGATTTTTGCGTATGTCCGCTTTTCAAAATATTTAAAGTTTTCGGTCACATTCCAGAGACATTCTGCTTTGTTTTTAGTAGGGCCGAAAGTGGATACACTGCGATGGTATGTGAAAAATGGCGGAGCTTAGCTGGTGTATTGGGCTGCCTTTCATTCAGGCTTATCGTTAGTCTTACATTTTTTGGACGAATAAACTGGGAAAAGTGATGCACTTTTGGTGTAGAGTTTGATAGGTTTCAACAATAAGCGTTTCTACTTTACGGACGATAAGATATGGACCCCACGACCTACCGTACTGACCTAGGGTAACGGTACCCTTACTGCTGTACTGGTAATGCTGTAATGCGCTACCGTAACTGACAGACTGACACAACGTCCAGACGTCACAGTTTGCCTGATATTGGTTTAGTCGGACAGTGTTAGGGCAAATGGAGGGGTTTACAGATATATTGCCCCTCGAAATTTTCCGATCACTAGGTCTGTAGGTAGGGTAGCACAAAATGCAATGGTTCACCGGCGCGGCGGTGTGGCTCAACGGGCTATACGTTAGGAATACGCTCGCCACCGCACCTCTAATTACTCTGCGTGGGTTCGCAGGTTCGAATCCCATGCAGGGATGGTTATGTGCGAGAGGATTGCTGGACTCCTCGCCGTCGTTGGGTGGTTCACGTAACCGCTGGTCGGTTACGGCTTCCTCCACTACCAGTACCAAGTCCATGCTTCCGAAAACAAACAATATAGGCTAACTAATCCCATACCCGACTTGGAGTGGAAACCGGACGAGAGGCCGTGGTTCGCCATATGGATAAGCCGTCTTATCGCCTTTCCTCTCCCCCGGGATAAATATGTAAATCCTATCCTTTGACTTTCAGTCGCATTGGTAGTTGTTTGAAAATAGGTATAAGTTATATAACTTACACATACCGTAGATTTACAGATATTTAATCACCACCTGACTACAATAAGGACCAACGCACTTCACATCGTTGCGTAAATGGCAGATGTTCAACCCATGTGGAGTCGATGAGGACAATCGTTAAGATCCACAGAAAACTATTCATGTTTATATTCAACCGATTTTGATCCAATCAAACCAAAAGAAATTTGTTATTTTCAAATCTACACTAAAGTTCCAGCACCCCAATGCGGGACTGTGACAAGTACAACGTATACGAAAAATACTTTTATGTATACTGATGTCTCTCACAGTTTAATTTTTCATTTGCATTGATAACCCCCTCTATCGAATGGCGGTATTTTGACGACTATAGCGTGGGTAGAATTCACGATTTGAGGCGCTTGAAAACAATTTGTCTTTTTTTGACTAAACGTGATTTTTTTTTGTTAAAAAATAAATTGGGCCGTACATAGCCTATTAAAGGACTTACTATGAAACTGTAAGAAGCATAACATGACGTAATTTAATCAAGATATAAATAATTGAAAATTTCATCTGGAGTTGCAAGGCATTGGAAGTTACCTACTTTTACAGTTTAATAACTCAAACCATTCTTCCATAGGTTGTCAGAAAAGTTCGCGGGACAAAATCTAGGTACTAATATGAATTTTAATATCAATTATAAACATTTACTAAATAATGCACATGCATAAGTGCATATATATATTTCACATGAGCCCTATCTCTTGTTTTACTTTAGAGTATTTTATAAATCATAGTCTACAAGAGTTTCAAGCGATTTCATATTTTCATGATAATGGCTATTATAGTGTGGTTATATCAATGCTGTATATCGGTATATGAATATTTTCTGTTGAAATGAGTAGTATGTGTTTAATATTATTTTCCCCTTATTTCATCAACATAATTGAAATATGTAAACGAAGCAATTCGCATTTTGTTTAGTATATAGCCTACTATAAACAGTGTGAAATTCAATGCGAGTCCTTTTTAAGTTGCCCTGTAAAACAATCCGACAAATAACATTGATTAACGTATATATTATATTATTCAATTTGAAGCGCTCGAATCAATTTCAAATTTATTAGATTTTGTAGAAATGATCATACATAATTGAGAGCACTCAACGTTTCCTGGCATAGGAAATTATACTTGTATGAAGATATCCTATTAAATTGACTACAGCAGTTTAATAATAAAATGACAAGTTTTTAGCAGTTCTGGAAACTGAATTGTAAATTTTACTGTCAACGTCTTGATGTAATCCAAAATACAGAGCATGCATATGAATAACACAGGTTGAATGATCACAGTTTACAACAGTGTCACTTTGGTATGCGATCATAACTTAATCGCAATCGCATAAAGACATTCGCAGTAAATTCAGTTCCTATCCTTAACTATAATCACTGGAATCACACAACTGCTGGCATAGCATCATTTCAACTTATATGCGTCATTAGCAATTACTTATTCTATTATAAGATAAAGCAGTGTTTTTCAACCGGGGTGCCGCGGCACACCGGTGTGCCGTAAGTTATTGTCAGGGGTGCCGTGGGAAATTCTCCAAATTGTGTGTCTATGCGGTGTAGCGCCCGACAGAGTAATCATGTAGTACGGTGGCAGTATCAGGTGGCGATTTGCTTTTTTTGTCTTTGTTTTTATTAGATTACTATTCAGGATGTCCTATTCAACTTCTTTCTTCAATGTTAAAATCTTATATTAAAAATATAACACTTATATATATTGTGAATATTAGGCCTTTTCTTCATATTTTCAAATGTGTGTGCCGCGGGATCTTCTCACTGAAAAAAGTGTGCCTTGGCTCGAAAAAGGTTGAAAAACAATGAGATAAAGTATATAGTACTTTTAAATCTATATTGAATGCTATGTTGACAGAAGTCATATATGTATTACAATATGCAAAGCAGGTTGTAACAAGGGTTGTTAAAGCAGATGTATGACAGCAAGGAGTTCTGCAATCATTCGCCTCACAGAATTTACGGTACATTACAGAATTAATTCTGTCGTGAATGATTATCTCCGGTGCTGTAGCATGTTTGATGTTTCTTTTCACTAATTATAATTTTTGTTTCACTTTCACCATTAATGTGCTATTAATGTTGGATAGGGATATATAGGAATTGATCATACATGTAGATTTAGGCAAAATCATTTTGTTGTATGAATGTTTCCATGAACTTTCATAAAAGAAATCATTTTCTCAATTTAAGATCTCATAGGATGGTAAAGTCTACCATCTTACTTTTTTTTACAAATGTCTACCTACCCTCAGAAGTACCTACTCTATTGCAGGACCCCTTTAGAGTCACAGTCTGTTCCGATAAAAGCCACATTTTCAGTTGCCTGGCTGAGTAGCCTATGATATATACACCTGACTTTTTACTTTAAACTAGTTATTGCTGTAACGTTTCATAAAAAAATTATTTTTATATCACTTCATTTTATGTAGTTATACATATTGAATTAACAAATGTTTGATATAATGTAATGAGTATGCAATTGACGTGTAAAAATGCCTTGAAATCCTATAGAAGAATCTTCATATCAACACCCATATTAGGATATGACGTCTAGACAAGGGAACTACTCTGGAAGCGATGGCTCTGGAAGGAGTAAAGCGAATCGTCCAGCTTCATTTCCAAATAATAATTTAAGTTCAGTATCGTTTAAAGACTTGTCAAAAAGTTTTGGAAAACTAAAAGTACAAGGAGTTGAGAAAGAGGGAAGAAAAGGAAAAAGACCAAGTTTAACGGATTCCGAAGCCTCTGATAATGCGATAGCTTCAGTTAAATCCAGCCGGTAAATTAAATTTTTCTTTTATATTTGTAAGATTTATTTTATGATAAATTTGCAATCCTTATTTTCCCGCCTCATCTGCTGCTGAATCTTCGCACAATTTTGTGTGTTTGTGTTCAGAAGTTTATTTTACCTATCACCAATACATCTAGAATCTTTTTTTATTCTGTCATTTCATATACTTTGTTCGCATAGTGTAACTCTGCTAAACAATTTATTTTCATCATGATTTTTTCATGTCATTAACCTAAATCATATTTAAATTTAAAAAAATCAAACATAATTTTTCCTTTGTCTGAATTGTAGAAAAAGCAATGCTCTTAATTAATAAATAACACAAGTTTCAGCAACAAAGAAGAATTAATTCTTTTATCATCAGTTATTATACCAGTTACTGGTGGCTGGACATAAGTTGTTTGTCATTAGCATTAGATCAGCATATTAGTTTTTCTGTAAAATATTATGTTATTTAGAAATAGAGGAGCTGGAGGAGGAGTAGTCACCACTCGAAAAGAGGATAGAAGCCATCATGCCCGTGCTCTTCGGGAAATCAAAGATAGTCTTGCTCCTTACGGTCCTTCAGATATCAGCGCAGAATCTGTCCAGAACTTGGCTTTGGAATTGAATGTAAATGTTGATCAGGTCAGTACTTTATAATATAATTTATATATACGTAATTTATAATATTTTCATGAGGCCTTCAAATTGGACACATGTTGTCAATTAGGCACAGTAATACATTGGTCTCGTGGTAAAATATTAATATTTCGATGCAACAGGCTGCCGACTGCCAGTGTAATTCAGCTTTTTTAATGAGTTGTACCTTATGTCGTCAAAATATATATTTTTCTATTGTGACTACTGATTGATTTGAAATAAGTCATTTGTGTGATAATGAGTACTGTATTTAGTAAAAATTTTCCATATTCATTATCTATATATTGTTGGTTGGAAAATGCATTTTAAAATGAAAAATTACAATTGATTTTTTTTGTTAAAAAAGGCTTTCAATATTTTGTCCATCCAACTTCTATCCGCAATTTATTATCAATTTTATATTAAGAAATATGAACAAATAAATTGTATAATAAAGATATGATATTGAACAATAGATTATTATTTTGATATAGGCATCCCTATAGTTTCCAACTTCTGCCATGGTGTACTCTTTTTATATAATCTTTCATTATGTATATAACATTACACCAGTATCAACACAAACACCTTATTTTTACATCCCTGCTAATGCAAAAAAATGTTGATGTGATTTTTGAAATAAAAGAATATATAGCCAACTGCATACAAAGGAATACCACAATTTTTATCTATAAATATCATATGGGCCTTATATAATTGTGTCTCATAACTATGTTCAATCTTTGGCCATTCTTGAATAATTGTAAGTGAGGATTGGACTGGTTTCAGGCAGTAGATAAATAAAATAAAGATAGTAATTACAAAAGTATGTGTGGAATGTCACCCCATTGTTTACACAATCTGCCAGCAGACCTCTATAAAAGCATGTAGTAAAATTTTTTGTCTGTGGCTCTTCACAATCTCAATAAACTGGTATCGTAAATCATTATTATGTTGGAACTTGAATAAATTGAGCTTTGTGTTGTTCATTTATCTATAAAAATTTGGCCTCTGCAACATTCCTAGATTCCATTATCGATACTTATATTCTGTATTATTAAATGTGATTAATTTGTGTAATACAGATAATTGAAAATACAGTATTGCAGTTTGAAATAGTATTTAGGTTGCATATAGTTTATTGTTTTATGATTGGAAAAATTATTTTTCATTATAATTGACTGATTTTGGGGCAAACCTATAAAATATATTTTATTTTATTATAAATATAATTTTTTTTATTCAGAATTTAAAAAAAAAATCAAAATTTTATACCAAATAAGCAAATTTGTGTTATATCAGGTAATCTCAGTGTTTGGACTAAACTAGTTTTTTATGCTAATTTTTATATTTCATCATTTTTAAATGAATACAATCTGGAATTGATCTGAGTATTCACACTGATCCACCTATGTTGATGTTATGCTTTGAAATATTCAGTGAATCTGGATAATATTATTATTTGTGATCATCTATATATGTTGCACAATTTTTTACAAATATTGATTGACACAATAAATCAGCAATTATCAGTCATTTTGAAGTATTGGATTGAAGGCCAATTATTGACTGAGTTTACAAACTATCTGATTGGTTGTAAAAAAAATTACCGTAGGATACAAAATATGCAATTAGGAATTAGATAGATCATGCTTTGTGTTATTATTTTCATATATGTCGCAAGATTAAATAACCGATATCTCTATTTAACGCTGCTTGTTGAAGAATATTTATTTTTTACAGTCTGTTGCTGAAAATGTGGCGAAAAACTGCACAACACTTGAGGTTGCCAGAGAAAAACTGATTCTGATATTGCGTCGTAAAATGCAAAATGAACAATTCCTTCATCCCACCAATAATAATAACAATGCTGGAATTCCTCCACCTATGTATCAGACAGATTACAATACAAGTAAGAAATGGAATTTTCCTTCAAAATATGTTTTCCCCTTTTATTCAACTTTTTATAATTCTAGTGTAATATTAATTCATAAAATTTAAATGTTTGTAAAATTGTTTATAATCATAACTTATTTGTTTTAGGTGACTACCACGTGCCTCAGCCGAACATGCATTTGCAGCGCGATCCATACAGTCGAACGCATCGTGGCAGTCCAGATGGAGCTAGCCTCAGAGCAGACAGTCCGGTCGGAGTTCATGGCCACAATGGACTTCAAAGCAAAATTAGCCAAGTGAACAACTTGCGCCATAAAATCACTGCTTCTGAGTATGAATTATTGTCGAGTAAGAATCAGTTGGATCCAACAAAACAATTGCATAGGCAGTATGTGCCACTACCAGACAGGACACCTGCCACGGAGCCGCCTGCTTATCCTGGGAATCCAGCAACTTACATCAATTCTCCATATTCACGTCAAAGTTCCGCGAGTGATAATGGTTATGGTAATTATGTCAGAATTGTTACCAGATTCCAAAATTAAGGTTGAAATACAAATTGAGAACAAAAATTATTGGGATTAAAAAGTGGATATTGGTTGTTTTGATCTGAGACTGCTTTTTATTCCACGTCAATTTGTCCTACGTCCAAATAAAAATCATCTAAATTAAAATTTATTCTGTTTTTGAATCTTATTATTTGATAAGGTATATATGCAGCGCAATTGAAAACTGGAAATGTTTTAACAAAATGTGTTGTGTTCTTACTTTCATCATCAATCTAAAGACATTGCAAATAGCAGCAATGCCAGTGGAAATAATACTTAGAAATTTGAAAAATTGCGAAATCCATGTCCGAATAATTTTGAATTTGGATAGCTATGATTTGCATTGTATTTTGATTTTCATATCCTATATAGTCAATATAGATATGTTTTCAAGCAAAATGGCTATTCGCGAAATTTTACTCTCAAATATCAGAAAATGTAGATTTAACAGGTATACGTCTTTTTTAGATAAACAGTTACAATAACGTTTGGCTAAATATCCCAGCATTGCCCAATTTTTGTTATAAGCGATTGGTATTGATATATATTTAATTTTGAGTCCTAATTTTGATCTGTCTAATTTATGCTGTGATGATAAATTATAATTTGACAAACTTTTATTCAACAAAATCCATCGATTTGCTTGAGATGTGACAAGGTTTTTCTGTTGCATTACCTCCGTTGTAAGAGGTTGCTAAAGTCTCAAATAAATTTCTCTTCATTTATAGACATGGGCATGAATTCACTTCCACGCCCAAATCATCTCATGACGAATCCAACTAACACGTCGGATGTTCAGTATCGTCGTGGACAAACACCTCCTCCGATGTCATATGACAACAGGTTAGTTGTCATAGTGACTCGATTACCTCAATTAGTCCACTCTATCATATATCTAATGGTATTTGACAACCATAATAAGGAGTTTATCTATAATAACTAAGATCACTGGGTGATTTTTTGGAGGTTTTCTTCAGCAAACTTGCATATTTTTTATTTTAAATCAGAGAAGTGCGTATTGTTTGAGTGTGAGGTTTCATGACTCACGGGGGAAAGTAATTTTACTTCTATAATTGTCTCAGCATTATTTAATTATTAATTCAATGTGCAGGATGAGATATCAACGAGAGCTTTTTAGTCGGTTATAAAATAAAATGGAGAATATTGAAATTTGGGGAAAAATTTTCATTTGGAATTTTACAAATAGGTGTTTTTCAAGCTAGTATCTAATAATAGTTTGAAGCAACACTGCCAAACTATAGAAAAGTTACAGGAATTCAAAAGTTTGTTTTTGTCACTTTATCAAAAGAGCATAACTCTATTTGTCAATCAGTCTTCTTGGGGTCTTTCTAAAGAATTTTCTGGGTTTTTTTCAGGGCTATCCCAAACAATCCCAATCCTCCAGTGAATGCAGGAATTGTTCCTGGACATGTACAACAAATCGTTCAGCGAATGTCACCTTCTACTCCGAGTCAGGAGGCAATGAATTTTATGCGGCCTCCAACAACAAGACAGAATCCAAATCGCCAGCCACAAAATGTGCCGCAAATGTCTTCGACAAGTGTTATGAGAGACAACCATAAACCCATTATCAAAGGTTTGTAAATTTGTATAAAACAAGAAAAAATAAAATAAAATTTGGGTTTTATTAGTAAGTTCTTGCTTAGATTTTACATAGGTGTACTGTAGTCCATAATTCATTCTAGCCGATTACTTTACAGGTGAAGATAACACCACTGTAGAGCTCGCCCGATATATCCGCCAACCGATATATCTGGCCGATATTGCGTGTTTGCGGATATATCATATCGGCCGTAAACCGCCGATATATATCGGCCATTCTCGGCAAGGGCCTGGCTGCGTGCTGCAACCGCTCAAGGCACATTTCATTCAACAATAATTTGGAATTATAATTCAACATAATTCGAACGACATTCCTGCGCATGTTGTTTTTTATTAAAATAATTCATATTTTTTTCTTATTGAAACCACTATCTTTCTTCTGTTTTTCAGGACCCTCATCTGCCTCCAATATGTATCAATCATCAGCTGGATCTGGGGTAAACCCAGCCATGGCACGATACACCCCGAATCACCCACCACCCAGCTATACAGTAGCGCAGCAATTTCGTAACAAACAGAAGGAGCTTGACCAACCAACTTATACACACTCTGGTAAATCTACTGTATTTTTGCTCCCAAATATGTCCCGATCCCAAAAATGCATTTTTTATCATAACATTTCATAATATGTTTATACTCGAAATTGTCTCTCCCAGAGTTATTATCAAGCCAAACAATTAACATTTGTCATGCAATATATTTGGTTTGCAGATATTTTATATTTCTTATTTTTATACAGAATATTCATTATTCCAATCTCCAAAATCTATATTATCATTTTTTATAATATGGAAAATTTGAAGAAATCATTGTGAATTTATAGAAATTTGTAATGTGTAATAGTTGAGAACTTTGGACAAACATTGTTTTTATAATTTTATTTTTATTTTTCAGATAATTCATCAAGGTATCCAGAATTGTCTAAATCTCAACAAGCACAAAACCAGATGTTGAATATTAATCCAACAAATAGGTATGTTTATTATGTTATTTGTTTAAACTTTTAATTTAAAGTTGTGATGAGGAATTTGAGCGATGAGGTTTCAATCCAGATTATGGGCTAACTCAGACTACTTTGAATTCCACTAACTCTTTACTTGAAGTTTTTTAACCGGAGAATTTCTTTCTCAGTATGGTTGATTTAATCCCAATTTCTGGTATTTTCTGCTCGAAATAATTTCTTTTTGCTCTATTAAGCTGAAAAATCATTATATGTGCCATTACCATATGTAATACAAATCGTGATTTTACTGTAAATACGGAATTCCACCTATATGTAGAGAGAACACTTAAAACAGGGGTCGGCAACCTCCGGCCCGCGACGCTTCACTGAATTATAGTAACACAACAGCTGTAACGTCTGTAACGTAACAGAATTTATTGTGAGACACATGTAGACTAAATTATATTATAATCTAACAAGTATAAAATTGACAATCACTCGTTTAATGAACCTATAATTTAATTATAATTAGACAAATAGCAACAAAACGCTAAAAACTAAAATGTTTTTAAACCTACAAAAACAGGGGAAGTCCGTCACCTTATCAAGACCAGCACCAACAATGGACAAATCAAATAAATGGAGCTTTGATGGGAAATATCAATTACTCTACGTATCAACAACAGACATCCGGTCATTCATCCAGTCCTCAGTCTTCCATATCATCGGGATACCAGGTTTGAAATTGCGCTTTACCTACACATACGAGTTTTTTATTAATTTTGGTTGGTAGTTCAATTTTCGGGACAACCAATATCAAAATATCTACTATTGTAACAATCAAATTTAAATGTAATACAATCGTACAATTATTAATCGATTATTTTGAATTTATTCAATGAGTTAGAATTTAAAAATGCAGAAACCTTGAATGAACAATAATTTGATTGGTTTTCCTTTTTTTCACAATTTCCATAAATTTAATGCAGGCATTTTTAGTCATATTGGGGAACTTTATGTGCTCAAAATGAAAATTTTTAAATGAAATGTTTGTGAATTATCCCTGGAATATAGAATTCAAGTTATCGAGTATATGTTGATTTGAATATTTGATTCATTGTGTGCACCCTTGTTATGTATAATACTGATATAGGCCTATCATATATATTTTTACGATACCAGCCGTGTTCCATAATTATTATAATATTTATAATAATAGTGTGTTTCGAAAAGAATACTACAATCACACTATGGATAGCCCTATTACCTGGATAGGGCCTATTTCCATGTATCTTAAGTTCAGAGATATGATATTGGCACACCTCTTTTTGGATGAATTTGAGTCAATAAGATCAAAAATCGAATCTCTCAGATTAATTTATGTCGAATATTAGTATAATCTTAACCAGTGTTCTTCAAACTTTTCTCATCATGTCCAACTTGGCACTGCAAAAATTTTTTCGCAACCCTTTAGAACCAATGTGAGCTGGCATATTCTTGCACAAAAGAACGTCTCTTGGCACTGTCTCGGTTTTGGGTCTCAGTACTAGTTCCAAATCTGTTCAAATTTGATCAATATTTCGTTTTACATAAGTTAGTGTCAAAAAGATTTTATACACAGTGGAGGCAAAAGGCAGAAGAGTAAGTATGGCTCGTTCTGACAATAATGGGTACCGCGACCCCTATTGGGACCTCCAGTTAGATAGCCCTGATCCAGACAATATTTATATTTCCAAAGTTGTTTTTTAAATTGAGTAAATTTCTTTTTAATTTCTGTTTTTTTTCCTTGCAGATGGTGGGTGGAGAACCGTGTCATGCTCAATACCAAACGCTTGCCAGTCCGCCTATATTACGACCTATCTCAAGTCAGCCTGTCATGAAGTTGCAACCTATGACAGCCGAAGTACCTATGAATTGTGAGAGTAAGGATTTTTTTTTTAGTTTTTGAATTGTGAACGTAATCAATGTATTTATATAAATTTATTTCTGTGTAATGTAATTACAATTTACATCCATAATATTTTTGATTTTACGAGTCATTTTTTTGGCTTGCGTAGTACTGGGGGATTTGCCAACTTTGATGGCATCACGTTTTTTAGTTTAATTGGCTAAATTGTGTCCAAATCGGGGGATGTTTAAGTCTTTTATTAAAACCAGTAGCCACCCTACTACAGTGTTACTGCTTTTATAGAGCCTTAGGATGAGAAATACTTATTATGAAACTTGATTAAAATTGGATTGCATTCAGCGATAACTTAAATTTGCGGATTTTCTGATTTTTTGAACTGTCTTCATATACATTTTGTTGATATCACCTAAATCTCAGTTGCTGTATGCCGGGGGTGGGCACACCACGGCTCGCGAGCCGCATGCGGCTCGCCAGACTTTTTGTACGGCTCTTCTCGCTAACATAAATTATTATCAAAATTTTAACTAAGAGAAAAACTTTAATGTGAATTTTTTTAATTTATTAAAAGTCGTGAAGAAGTTTTCATCAATGATTGAGACAAATTATGAAAATCGCTGTAGTGTTGAATTTAAGTCAGTCAAGTCAGCAAATTTTTCGTCACAATGGTCAATGTTTATTGATGCGTCGGCGGTATTGCAGCTTGATTGCGACGATATGTCCTCAATTAGGAAAGGAAAGTACGGAGATGAAAACAGAGTTGTCAAGTCAGAATGGGAAGAAGAATACGCATTTACCAGTCAGGAGAATGAACTTTTGTGGTTAATCCGCCATAAGCTACTAAATCAGAATAATTAGAATAAATTCAGCACTGTTAAATGGCACCATGAATCGAATCATGAAAACTTCTTACGAGACTACCCTCGTCAATCAGCAATATGGAAACACAAATTAAATGAGCTCAAATTGTGCAAATATTTGAGCATAGCTGCCTTGTTTCTCTATTTATCGTTATTAGACTCTTGTGTGAATTACTTTTCTGTTCATGGTATTTTGATAATATTAATAAATTCACAAATTCTGCGGCTCTTTTAAAGTTCTGACCTGCAGCATGAGGCTCTTATACTAAAAAATTGTGCCCACCCCTGCTGTATGCTTTTTTTTTCTTACATTGTGTTCTCAAATTTTTTTAGATTTGCCGCCTCACTTTGCACCAATGGTTGTGGATTCTGATAGACAGCAAGTTCCATTGTCTGATAGAAATTCACAATATCACATGACCACAACTCATGGACATTATATCACAGACAGGTATCGTTTCCATCATTTATTTCACAAAAAATTCCTAAAAGATGTTTAATCTTGTTGGGAAACAGTTAAAAATCGTAAATGGCATTGCTGGTATTATTAGCCTGTATATATTTTTAATATAACAACTAATAGCTTATGTCTCCCAAAACAAATAATCGTTTTTTTTTTAATTTGTCTAATTGATATTGAGTTCTTGGTAATTCTTTTCGACAGAGAACCACCACCTTATGGAGAAAGCGTATCCGGTTCAACCAGTCTTACAAACAGCGATATAACCATGAACTATTCCAACCCTGACGTTAATTACGGCTGTTACCCCGATGATAATGGAAAATTGCGTAGGCCAAGCATTGCTGAAAATTACCTAAACGCAGTCGAAGGAAATGGTACCAGTGGTGGTATCATCACCCCAGGACCGCTCAACAACCCCACTGCAAAACCACCAAAGGGTACTGAAACAGCGGTGCAAGCCGCTCGTGTTACTGGCAGCAACACCAAAAGGCATGCCAACTCGTATTCCGCAGTTAGTGCGCCAAAGCAACAAAAAGCAGGGTCTATATCGGGAACTACAACAACGTCTCAACCCCGACATCGAAATCATGAACAGATGGTGCCAGACGCAGACTCTACAGAATGTGTCGAAAAAACGATAAGTACATCACCGGTGCCTGAAAGAAAGTTTTCTGGAAAATCGAAGTCTAAAAAGACTCCTAAAAGGTATCAATATCGTTTTTATAATTTTAGTGTTAATGATTGATATTTTTTTATATTCTAGAATTTTGTCTTGCCTAGTTGTGCAAAACTGTTTCATAATACCTGGTATTACAGCGAAACTTGGAAATTTACAGGATTATACTAGTTTTAGTTATTTTTCATATATTCATCATATGACTAATTATGGCTATTGCTTCAAACAAAGCTCCGCACAAGGACACTGGGAATCTTTCCTGTTTGACATTGTCTACCCAATTTATTTACACCATCATGAGTTAGGTGGGAGGCGTGAGATTTGAACCCAAGATTTTTTGAACACTTTCAATTTCAAACTTTGTTCGAAATATTCTTTGTTCTTCCTACTGCAATAAATCATGGAGAAAAACATATGACTATACATTGCCTTAAAATTAAGTAATAAAAAATATAATCAGACTAACGCTTGGATAACTTTGCATGTATTCTAATCTAACCTACAATCCTGATTTATCATTCAAGGGATAATCAATTCTCCGATTCGGAAGATGAAGAAGAACCTCCACAAAGAACTAGCAGGTATATAATTGTTGGTTGTCTCGTAGATCAGAGATTGTGAAGATTTCCTTATAAGATATTTAAAATATGATACAAAATTTTAATTATCCCACAATATGAGTTATATACTGAAGACACTCACTATGTACGGTATTTTTGAATAATGAGCAATTAAAATTTGTCTTTCTAATGATTGTATTACGGTATATCTGGAAATGCAGACAATGTAGAGTGAGATTGAGCCTCTTCCAAAATTGAGAGCACCTTGTATTTCTTAAATTATTGTAGCCTTATTGAAATTTTTTATTATATGGACCTTCGTGTCTCTACATCTCATACTGATACACAACAATATCAAGTCTTCTTTTGATTATGCTTTCAGAGTAAAAATGTTCTCATCGGAGGCATACAAGTTCTATATGGAACAGCACATCGAAAACGTCTTCAAGGGTTGTCATTCTCGTTCCAACAGACGGAATCAACTTGAGCAAGAAATGATGAAGGTATTAAATCCATTCTTTGCTAAAAGCTGGGGATTTACTCTTAAAACAAATTATCCACAGTGGTGTATTTAACTTGAATTGGATGTCTGTTTTTTGAAACAAAAAATTTATTTTTTTCCAGATGAAACTGCCACCACCAGACCAAGAGCAAATGAGAGAAATGTTATTCAAAAAAGAATCAAATTATATCAGATTGAAACGTGGAAAAATTGATCTGTCAATGTTCCAGTTCTTAAAGGCACTCGGAGTTGGTGCATTTGGAAAGGTATGATGATATCTCACTTAAACTTTCAGCAATGGTGTAAAAAATTGATCAGTATTAAATTTTGCAGTTTGAAATTATCATGATGAGTTTCAAATTAAAGATACCATAGGCATATATGGTAGTCCTATGAGCCCATTTTTATTTGAATGAAAATTATTCTGAAAAGTAACATAAACAGCATCATAGTAATATACTCATTTTTATTTAGGTTTTCCTAGCTAGAAAGCGGACTTCTGGTGCACTTTATGCTATCAAAACACTGCGAAAGAAAGAAGTTTTGACGAGGAATCAGGTCGCTCATGTCAAAGCTGAGAGAGATATTTTATCAGAGGCTGACAATGACTGGGTCGTTCGACTGTACTACACATTCCAGGTACATTTCTTCACAGTTTTTGATTGGCATTTTTTCCCCGAAATCATATAATTATAAATAAGAGAGTGGTATAGAAATATTTAGTGGACACAGAAGTACAGTCTTTGTAAAATTAGGCTGTCGATCACTAATTTAACCAAAATTTTAAGTGAAACCTTTGTTGCTGTGAGAATCCCATTTTGTAAATCTCGTTGTCAGATTCAAATCAAAATACCAATCGCTATTTGAAATCACTTGACGTGTTTCGGCATTCCATTGAGATCATCTCGAATTACTATTGGTTTGGAAGCAAATTTTTCAGATCAGCAGCAGTTGAATGTAGAATTTTTTTTAACAATGTCAACCTCACACACTGCCCAGATAGCAATCGTATTGTTCATTAATGCCATAAAGGTGTAAAATGTTGATGTTGTACACTGACAATGTAGGACTGTGTATGGTCAATGCTCGATCAAGAATAATTTTCAACTGACACTATTTTGTTCATTACAAGACTAATATTGGGTATTTTGTTAGTAAAAATGCTACTAATTCTGTTTTTTTGTCAGGACAAACAATTTCTATATTTTGTAATGGACTACATTCCGGGAGGCGACATGATGAGTTTACTGATCAAGAAAGGAATATTTAGTGAACAACTTGCACAATTTTATACTGCAGAATTAACTTTAGCACTGGAAAGTGTTCACAAAATGGGATTTATACACAGGTGAGTAGCACAGAATCGTGTTATATACCAAACTAGACGCCATTATTTAGAGTCGCTCTCCCTGTGTTCTATGAGATTTTTTGATGTTTCAGTACTTAGCTTCAACTCTGAATATCGAACTTTTGGTGCCAACTTAGTTCAAGTCCTACTTTGCTAATCACAAGAACATAAAGTCTATGACCATGACTTAAAAGAACTTAAGTTTCTTTGTTTGTATTATTGTAACATTTCTCTTTACCACTCATTTTTTGAAGTGGCTGATGTCTTTCACTTACTAATCATTGTTTTGTAATTTTAAAAAATTTATTCCAGAGATATAAAACCAGATAACATATTGATCGATCGTGATGGACATATTAAATTAACAGATTTCGGACTCTGTACTGGTTTCAGGTGGACGCACGACTCCAAGTATTACCAACGAGGTAACATATGTAAAGAAAAATCATCAAGTTCTCATCTACTACTGTAAAAGAATTTATGCCATCATATGCTGAGCTTTTCACAAATTATTTATTCTTTTTTCTGAGGCGATTCTAATATTCACTAAACAAGTTTTGGTATAATCATACACTCATATGTGAGGAGCCACTATTTTTGACTATCCGTCTAAATTATCGCTTAGGAAGGTGGTGGGCATGGTATTCGAACTCAAGATCTTTCACCTGCGATGCCAGCTTGGTTTCGTCAAACACTCTTTCAAGTTCATGGAATTTGATTATGTGAAAATATTACAAATTTTAACATATTAATATGTACAGTCCATGTTTCGATTAGCGGACTTGATCGTGAAATGCTTTCTTTTTCAGGAGGTCACAGGCCGCAAGACAGTATGGATTTCAGTAATGATTGGGCAAAGAGTGGAAATGGTCCTCTTAAAACACTAGACAGGAGGCGGATAAGAGATGCTAATCGCCGTATTGCCCGCTCTCTTGTTGGAACTCCAAACTATATCGCTCCTGAGGTCTTACTCAAGGAGGGTTACACTCAACTGTGTGATTGGTGGAGCGTCGGTGTCATCTTGTATGAAATGGTTGTTGGTCAACCACCGTTCAATGCCAGCTCACCAGAAGAAACACAAATGAAGGTTTGGAAACACAAATATATTTGCAAATTGGAATATTTTGATCGATTGCGCTTCTGTTCTGCAGCATCTTGTAGGAATACAGTTAAATTACAGATTAAGTTTAGGTTTTGGTACAGTTGGCTCATTGTGTGAGATGAACATATGGGAGGTTATTTCTGATATATAAATGTTAGTCATTGTGACTAAATTAACAGAACCCATAAATTTTCTTATTACATCTACGAAAATGAAGAAAATTTCTTCTGGTTTTTGAAATATTGTACCCAAAAGCTTCAGTAATCTTGGCATGAAAGTTCTGTTTTGTGTGAAATATGTTCCTAATTTCCCTGGTTAGTTTTTTTGGGGGGTTACCCTGTACTTCTTCTATCTATATACTAAGTTAGCTGTAGTCTCACCAATCGGCAATTGGGAGAATTTCCGTGTTTTTGTCCTTATTTCCCTGGAATGATTACAAAAATCCTATAAACGAATATTACGAATATCCTGTGTATAAAAAAAAAACTTCATTATTTTGTCAAACCTGAAGTTTAGTTGCAAAACAAGTTTGATGAACATGCTGATAGTTGGCTGTGTACAATAGTAAGAGATTTATAATACTTCTATTCTTCTTTTTCTATATAATACTTGTATTCCTAATCTGAAATTTATTCAATTTAGGTCATCAACTGGCAAAATATGCTGTATTTCCCAGAATCTGCACGACTGAAGTCCCAAACACAAAACTTTATTCTGTGTTTATGTTGCGATCAAAGACAGAGACTAGGTTGCAACGGAATAGAAGAAATAAAACAACATCCATATTTTCGAAATGTAAACTGGGCTAATTTAAGAGCAATACAGGCACCTTACGTACCTAAGGCAAGTTCATTTTAGTGATTGTATTATTGTACTAATAAGTGTAAAATCGTGTGTTGTCATCAAAAAGGTTAGGGCTTTGAGTGCATAATTTCTTTATTGATCGTAATTCGTAATCTAGACTTGCTTAGTCCTGCCACCTTCCCTAATCCTAAATAGACAAAGAGAATGAGATACGTCCTGAAAAGGTGGCCGAAGCGCCCTCCTACTGGCATACCACTACCTGTTATCAACCAAAACCTCTTCTTATATGTAATTATCAACACCAGTTTGGGTTATGGTCAACCTTCTCGCTGCTATTTAGTAGCTTATGTGAGGATTTGGCTTTCAAGATTCACCATGCAAAAGACATCGAGTTTTGTCTTTCAATGCATTCCAAAGGCATCATGACCAAATATATAACCAATAATGCAGAAAACATTGAATGAAGTATAGTCAATTATAAACAACATAATACTAGATTGTCACAATTTATCTTTAAATTTTATAAATGAAAAAAATAGAGTTAATGATTTTTTTAACACTCTCGTTTTTGTTTTAAAGATTCGATTTCCTGAAGACACCTCAAACTTTGACACACCGGATGATTTAATGTTGAATCCAAGCCAGGCCGGAACACTGAATAGCAACACACTCTTACGAGCAGGAGAACATGCATTTTTTGAGTTCACTTTTCGGAGATTTTTCGACGAAGATGGTCGTGCGTACTCTAATAATTATCATTACAGTGGCCCAGAGAGTGGCATGATAATTGATGAGGTAATTATTTTCAAGCATTAAGCATTTCGGATAAATAATTCCAATGGATTTGTAGTATCTAAACTTTACTTATTTTAAATGTTTAGGATGCTGAAATAGCACAACAGGATGATGACTATGCGTATGGTTACTGCCAACCTGACAGACAAGAATGGGTTCAAAGTTCATCCGGTCGTGGCAGGGAGGCCAGCGATGATGGAAATGATTACTACCTCTGAAAACGGAATTGGACCTAGACCTGGACTCTGTGGTAGCCCATAATATAAATACTGGTATATATATATATAATGAATTCTAAGTATAATTATTTTCACAGACAGAAATGAGAATTTACTTATTGGCCACTGATGAATCATGACTGATTGGCATTTTCCACATATACCATACCCTATATGATCAGTCGATTTTAGAAATAAGCTGACGTAATACTGCCCTAAAACCGAGGCTCGAGTCGTTAAAAGTTACTGCTTTCCGGTACCAATTAAATGATGAGGTTAACCTATTCATTTTGTATGCATTTCTGTGTTCGAACAATCCCTTGTATAGTGAGTGCTACCTTGTTGAAAGTTCCATTTCCGACTTTTCATTAGTTGTTTGCATAGACACAATGAGGGTCAGCCAGAGTTATTCATGATCATGACTGATTTTCATTTCCAAACGGCAATATGCTGAAAAGGCTAATTGCTTCTGCCGGTATAATATTGCAGATTTTCAATATTTTTCACTGTGTCGTCAGTTTGTTTTATTTTGCCAAAAAATATTTTGTTTCTCTACTCTTGTTTTTGTTTTATCTCTCCAAAAATTTGGTGTTTGTTATTGTGTATTACGGTATTAGTACGATTGTTCTTTTATTATCATTTTTATCTTGATATTTTGTCATTTTAGCGTTTTATAATCATGGTGCGAGAATTTTAGATATGAAAAAATTTCTTGTCTTAAAATTGATACATATTTTTAATGAAAATGTGCCTTTTACATAGGTAATAACTACTTTTTGCACAATTATTATGATTGATACAATTTCAAAAATACAGAATAGGCTTAATCGTTCGATTGACAAAAAATGTAATGAGGAAAATTAAGAAGATGTCACTAAGTCTCTGTGTGACTCTCAACTAGATTTATCACAATACAACAATTCTGTTGGCACTTGGGCAAAATTGCTAATGCCCAAATTTTAAATTCAATTGGGTTTGCAATACCAGTGTTTATATTGATTAGTATACGTACTAGAATTTTCCTTGGAACACCACTCTTGTGTTTAAAAATCTTAGTGTGGGCACATATTACGATATTTCCTAAATCCTGATTTTGCCGTTCAGATCTTAGGTCTGGTAAACTCGTGGAAAATGCTTTTTCTGTTGCGTTCGGATTTTGAATTCTTATTAAACTAGGTTCTTAGATAATTCATTGATTAGGCATACCTTTTTCTCTATTTAAAAAGGGGTGATGGCGGAAACTGGAACAAAATTGTTTTTGTATCTTTGAACATTCTCCCTATTTCAAAAAAGTTGTAAGTACCTAGGTTCGTCAATTCTTGCCAGATAATTTTTCTTGTATCTATATTGTCCTCATAAAATTAGCTTAAAACGCTGATTCTGTCATTTTTAGACTGATGTTCAATCTAAGTTCTATCCCAGTTAAAAATAGTTTTCTGTCTCTAATTGATAACGTTCAGTCGCTATAATTATAAGGCTTTATACACCTACCTGTGTGTCCAATGCTCGAACCTACATGGTTCAGCATTGAAATGCTAAAATTTTGAAATTGCAAAGTCATAATCATTTCTTATCTAAACACGACCCATTTCATCCTTGAAAAAATTGGGTTATGTACATACTGCTGTAAACTTCTTATGAGCTAAGTAAACGGCATGAAATGAAATGAACATCGTTGATGCCTCAGTAACTTGTGTTAATGTTTTGCTTTATTGATCTTAAGGTAAATTTCTGGAATGATTTAATCTTTCAATGAAATAGTTTCTTGTACTTTTGTGTATATTTAAGGAATAAAAGATAAAAATGATAACTGTGACCCCTTTTTCTTTAACCTTTCACTTCGTGTTAAGCCGTCTACAATTTTTATTTTCTTTGTATACCCCGCAAATAACAAAGGTTATTAACAAAGTAGGAAAAAGTCATTACGAAAATCTTACTCTGATCACAAGATATTGACATTGATTTTATGACTATAGCTTGCGTTAAGAAATTTGCGAATAACTGTGCCCTAGCCTCTTATGTAGACAATATCTCTCCGCCACTAATTATTTTTTCGCATGGGATGGGTTTCTACTCAAAAATTCATGGACAATCAAACGATGTACTTGCGAATTAGTGAATTCCAATGTCAAACGTGCACTGCATCAACCATTTGTTTTATTGTATACCTGGGATCTGACTTGGGTATACAGCAGTGATGGGATTCAAATTTTTTGTCAGCCGGTTCCTTCACAAAAGTCATATTTTTTTGCTGGTTCTGTTGCAAACAGAACATTGACAGTAACTAGTAATGCTAACCGGTTCGCTGATCTCATAAAATTTCGTGAGACGGTTCTGTAGAACCGGCTGAATCACACCACTGGTATACCGTATACCCTGATGAATAACACTGTTGTAGTCACATGCAGCGATACAGGGAAGGCTAGACGCAATTTGAAAGGTTTCTATAGCTAAGACTTCCAGATCTTTATTCGGAATGAAGCATTAGTTGTTAGGTTTTACTGGCGTGTAACATGCTGCCAATCAAAGTTGACCCGAGACGTAAGCATTATCAATGATATATTCGCCCATGCAATGGTCGGAATGTGGCGGGACTTAAAAATGTGTTTTGAAGACGCCCTGCAGCATTGAGTCCGAAACTTGCAAAACGAGTCTCCGAAGTAAGCGACACATTCCAACAATCCTCTTATACGCGATTATTTCAATCTGTATAATGCCATGGCGAAACGTAGTGAACGGTTCCATGGCAAGCTTGGCCCTATCATTTGATCGAGTGGTCAGACATGGATGGGAAAACCATGATGCCTTCTTACAATTAAGCAATGAAAACTGAAAATATGCAAGCTGAATAATCTCTGCCTGCAGCTATTCACATCACCTTTCCAGCAAGTAGAAATAAAACGCTTCGGAATAGCGATGTTTATACGAGAAATATAAAAACGCATTGCAGTAAATTGTTGTTTTCGCGTATCTTCGGGATTTGTTGATTTATAGGACCATCATTTGTCAAAAATTATTTACAAAATGCGAAGCAGGAAAATAGCAGTCTGCTGTTTCGTGTTAGCATTGATAATAAGCTGTGTTGTGGCGACGACGTTGGACTGCTCCGTCAAACCAGGTTGCCAGATCGCAAAATGTGATCCTGCCCCAGCAGCATGGAACAGCGTCGGTTATGATGTTACTGAATATCTCTCAAAAACACAGTTCCCGATAACATGTGAAACAAGAAACACTGTCGTCGAAGAAGATATTTTAGGTAAATATTGTTTTGTCGTAAATAAATAAGTACATTTTTAATATATATATTAATCATATTTACAATAAATTCGGTATATATATATATATATAGGACCCAATTTAGAACGGGACGAGAAGAAGAGAAATGAAGACAATAGAAACATAGAAGCTCGTAAGCTCAAGAATTTGTTGTTGTTGTTTTCTATCGTCAATAATCACGAAATTATTAACAAAGGAACCTGAGCTATTTTCAAGAGCAATTATTTTCAGAACTGAAAGAAATGCAGAAAATCAATACACAACTTCAGAAAAGAGTGGAAAAAATGGAAAGTAATTACCTTCAAGGTGAGTTCTCGCTATATTTTAAGAACATCAAGTATGGCCAACATAATAGAAAATGAACTCCTCTTCATATTTCAACGTTGAAAATTCCTCGCTGATTTTATATATACGATTATATATCGAGATTTCTGGTGACTATGTCAACACACCTGGGATATTGATTTTATGCCGCCAGCATTTAGCCTTAACTTAGGAAATTAGCCTTATTGATGCGGGCTCCATTGACTTGGTTCAGAAAAAGGGGATTTCATTTAATGCTTAATTTATCTGGTCTAGTTGTACAAAAGATAATGAATTTGGAACGGAACGCTGCAATGAAGACATCAAACGAGCACGTCGTTCTAAATGAAACGGATGAGAACACCGGCACATCCGAATTGATGAAAAGTTCTCGTGAATATAACATATTTTGATTATATATACATATATATATATAGAATCATGTATATATATATATTTCATCTTTGTAAGGATTAAGCCCAAAATCGGCCTTTTTTTTCATCCGTACTTACTAAGACCAACAATTATGTAATAGACTGGAATGCTGCAATCGGCGCAGTAGCTTATATATACAGGGTGTCTCAAAAGTAAGTATACACTTTTAATTTTGATTTTCTTTTAAGGTATTCATCAGAGAGCGTTCATTTCTTTAAGAAACATAGTATGGATAAGTAGTAAAATTTAGGTATTGTTTGCCTTTTTTAACAACTCACAGCATGACTATGAGATTAACCCCAGGAATGAGTTGAAAAATTGCTGTTTGGCAAGAAGCATATAAATTAGTAAGGCAAACTCAGCTCCTCTTTAACTAAGAGTTTGGAATCAATTTTGCTCCTACACGACGAACAATTTATGCAATTCATCGTAAATTTATGGAAACTCGATCTGTAGTTGATGCACAAAGATCAGGAGGACCAAAGAGCGACGATCCAGAAAACATTCAGAGTCGAATTAATTCCGTTTGAAGAGACGCTGAGTTTGCTTTACTGCTTTTTGCCAAACAGCAATTTTGCACCTCATTTTTTCGGTTAATTCTCTTGTCATCCTGTGGGTTGTTGAAAAATGCAAACAATATATAAATTTTACTACTTATCCATACTATGTTTCTTGAAGAAATGAACGCTCTATGACCGGGGTGGACAAAATTTTTTAGTATGAGAGCCGCATGCAGAAAGTCAGAAATATGTGAGAGCCGCATAATTTTTGAAATTAATAATATTAAAATACCGTGAACTGAGAAGAACTTAAACATAAACGTATAATAACAATATTGCAAAGTATATATTCTTCAACCGCTTGAATAAATTCAAATAAAAACTGTTACGCTACAGTTTCTCTTAATTGAATTTGGATAATATATACTTATTGCCAGCGAGAAGAGCCGCATGAAAACTCCGCGGCGAGCGTGGTGTATCCAACGTTGCTCTATGATGAGTACCTGAGAAGCAAATCAAAATTATAATTGTATACTTACTTTTGAGACACCCTGTATATACCAAATGGCCCCGATCGCGAGATGGGAATCTTAAATTATTGCACATGGCTGTTGTTTCGAAGGCATTAGACGGCATTGCTGATGAACTGCAAAGAGTATTGTGGGTGAACTGCGATCTCAAACTATATATATGATATTTCATTATGATAAGAATAGAATAAAATATAATTTTGCTTCTCAGTATCCATCGTAAACAACATTTTTCTTGTCTCTGATTTATCGATGGAATTCGTAGGATCGAATTCAGTGGAGATAATTTATCGAAGATTGTATATAAGCCAAGGGTTCGCTTTGCCGATGCTAGGTAGTTACTGTTGGGGATGGATAACATTTTCGGTTGCTCGAATGACTTTGTAGTAGAAGTTTAAAATATGGTTCATATTATGTGAAATTTCGGCGCTCCAGAAGTATTTGTATCAATGTGGAGGTAACTAATTTTGTTCGCCCATTTTACATCAAGTTGTGTGAAGGGACGAAAGCCTATGGGCAGAGGGTATATTTACTTGCTAACACAGACAGTCCCCGAACTTGTAATAAAACTAAAATAAAGAAAATCAGAATTAAATTATGGCCTAACCATAACCTGGTACACATACAGACAACTACGGGTGTACCGAAATTTCACCGGAGTAGTCCATCCGAAAATTGATGTACAAATTAACGTTATGCATATACCGTGTTTCCACGAAAATAAAACCTACTCTGAAAATAAGACTTAGCCTTAATTCTAAAAATGATTTTAATATAAGATTATAAGCCCTCCCCTTAAAATAAGTAAATAAAAAATTTGTGTTATTTATAAGTAAATGGATATCGGTTTTCATATTTTGTATATTTGAAAATATCATAATTCTCTATTTTGAAATGTTGTTTTTGATAAATGAAAATGTAAAACATCCCCCGAAAATAAGCCCTAGTGTTATTTTTTGGAGGAAAATTGAAATAAGACCCAGTCTTATTTTCGGAGAAACACCGTAATAAACAAAGAAAATTTTGTTAGGTCAGTGTATGTTTCTATTTAGAAAACTGTGAGGTCTTCGTCGACGATACTTGTTACTACACCGATGTTCGAAATCAATATTCTATAACTTTCACAAGTGCCGTAAACATTTGTAGAAAAAGTGGCTCGAAAATTGCTCAGTTACGAAGTAATGTCACATTTGAACAAATATCAGAGAATTTAAGAGCAAAAATTCCGGAAGGAAATTACACAGTGTCGGTGTGGCTCGGGTCAACGATAAATACTTCGGTATGGTATAGTAAACGAAGACTAAATTTAATAAAAATAAGACGTAATGGATGTTTCCCGAGCATTCGACCTCTTTATATACTTTATTATATCGAGAGGCGTTAGTATAGTTGGAGTAATCGAAAATGAGCCTCGAAAAAGTTTAAATAGGCCTACTTTTATATATTTTTGCATTGGTAAAGTATAGGAAGATTTTACCGTGAGCAAGCGTTAACATGTGAACAGTCTGACCTTTAAGATAATATATATATACATCTAAAAATGTAATAGATTTTAAATCAACTTATTTTACTTTCATATTTAGGGTTACGTTAAACGTTCACAAAATATACCTAACTCTGTACTTTCATATTGCAGACTATTCAAATCAGTGCACCCGACAGTTTCTTAAAATGGTACCCAAATAATCCTCGAGCAGGCAACTCAAATTCGCCCTATTCCAACATTTATATCACGGTCGCCAGGGATAAGAAGCACAAATATCAGGGAATGGTCAATTATTACCCATCCTTGAAGAGACAGGGAGTCGTGTGTGAATTCTGAAATCGTGAAACGGGTTTGTTGACACTGGAGGTCGTTACTTGAAGCAGTGAAATGCGCTATTTTATAGGTTGCGTTAAAACTGTACTGGCTCAGTTATGAGCCAAGATTTTACCTTTTTCATTTTCATAGTTGCCAGTAATAACTTTCTTAAATCAGGTATTGGAGCGTTGAAACATTGCTTAATTTTAATCTGCACAGCTTTTTACTCCCTGAATGCCAGTTTCATCTATTCAATTCACCTCAACATCATTGAACACCTATCATTTTTGTCAAGCTATTTACAAACTTGATAATAAAGCGGACTACAAAAATTATGGCTATTTTTTTTTTATCTCCCCTCACTTTACTAACTTTCTGGTGCATAAATTAAAGCACAAATATAAACTGGCATATTTCAGTGGATTCTGGCACTATTTTAACAAGATTTGGGCTGAAACTTGACTATTTTGTTAGACACCTGTAGATGCACCAGAGCTTAACAATTTTAAATCAGCTGCTACATGCCACGATTGAAACTGGACTCCCACATCTTCTCTCCTCAAGGCAATGATGAAACAAGACGCAACAGAAAAAATTTTGCACCGAATTTGAAAAATCCAATCAATCTGTTGAATAAATCAATTTTAACTGAACTTACAATATAGAATAATCTAGAAGAGTGGACAATTCCAATACTGGGACTGGCAAAGTAGAATAGGGTCCAATCGAAGAATCGTGCTGATACAATCCCTTACATAAAATGAACATAACCATTGACATGCCGGGATATTGAAAAAGTGGTAACAGTTCACACTTCTATTTTTTTTTCTTCGCATACTGATACCTTTCAATGATATCTAGCTATTTCTAATTTCCCTCATTCGCAATGTCACATTTATTACTATTATTGATAAAGAAAATAAATATCATATAGAACAATTCAAAAAAATTTGCAAACGCAGTCCTTCACCACCCTTGTTCTTTAGACTGTGTCCACCTAAGTCCCATTCCTGGAGTTGGAAATGGCGAAGAAGTACTGGGCTTTGTTTCAGTTTTGACAACATCTTTTGGACCTCCTCCTGTAAATAGGCACATATCACTCATTGATAGGCTACCACTATCTACTACAATTGGAATGGGTCATCTAACCCAGGGGTGAACAGCACAGGGCACACATGCCCAATGTCGCACACCACGAGCTCCAACATGGCACAGTTCGGTAAAAAGTAATACTTATATTTATGAATCTACGATAAATCCTAATAATAAGTCTTGTTTATATCGAAATAAACTTATATCACCATGTTTATTCACACATCACTAGCTAATGGCCCTGTTATCATAGTAGCATTCTAACTGGAGGTAGCCTAGCCCATGGTAGCAATCGGTTGGGTAGGTTATACATGACTTTTCGATTTAGTTGAAATAAAGCGCTTTTGTGTTGCTAAAATTGAAAACAACCAGTTTATACACACATGCCTATCTCCTAGCTAGTTGCTATCATTAACATTTTTAGGACTTTATAGTAACACTAATGCTGAAAAGTTTATATTCGCATTGATTGTAGCAATGAGAAAAACCTTTTGCTGAACAAGAGATGAAACCACTCGTGAATTTGGAATTAATTGTTATGTGTTCTACGAAAGATCGTTCACAGTACCAAAAATTATTCAACATGACGTGGCATGTGACAAAATTATTTTGAAAACTTTGGCACGCATGATCATTTGAACTGTGCGCCCCTGATCTAACCAATCAAACATGTTTCAATTTCCATGCAGGCTTATACGTTATACGAGATCAACTCAATACCAAACTACCTTCGAGCTGCTTTTGTGCTTCCAGCTGTTTTTGAGCCATTCCAGTTGCTTTTATAACAACTGGTGGACCCATTTGTCTTCTTGCATCTCTTGAACAATAATAGTTATTCGAAATTGCTGAATTTTCAGATGGAGGCATTGTGGGCTTTGGTATGGTTCTAAAGTATACAAAAATTGTCAAATGCTATATCTTGTAGCGATAACTACAAGTGATAATGCATCATTTTTATGTTGTTTATGCCAACATGCTTTGTTGGAACTGAAGGCAGGCAGCAATGTATTTACAATTTCAATAATGGGGGATTGTTAAATTTACAAAATAAATGCTGAGTCAATATACTAGAATGTGATGTTATAATACAATTTATACCAGTGATTGGTGGAAATCCCCAGTCACACTGACAGTTGGTTACTTGCGAGTAATCTAAATGAAATAACCCGATCCTCCCTAACACTGGTATATAGCTTGACCATCCACCAAAATACGCAATAGAATAAGAGTTTGATGTATTGTCTGTAAATTATAATCACTCAAAAATCCACTTATTCGTCAATGTATATTGCAAGTCTAACAATATTAATTAAAAGACTGATGAATGCAATTCGATAGCATTATATTCATTTATTTACGATTCCCGCCAGTTGCTTCTCTATTCGACCAAATACAATACAATATTACACTTAAAAAATGAAATTACCTTGATGAAATATCATCTTTGTACCTCAGCCACATTCGGTGCCTTCTCTAAAATAAAATTTCCTTTTTAAATGAATCAAAAGGTTAGCTAAATTTTTAAAGACTTAATCATCTCACAAAGGCAGTGGTATTTTTGGTTATTTTAAGAGCATACAATTTCTCATGTTAGACTAAGGGCAAAACCGATTCAAAGTTAGCTAGTCTTAATAAAAGAGGGACAAACTAAAAGACGACAAATGAAAATTAGGCACTTTTTTAGGCCCCTCTCAAAAAAGGTAAATGTGAGTAATAACTTTTAAAAAGATAATGGGTTAGTTAAAAATATTTTATACAACATGTAAATTGCAACAAGTAAACCCAATGATAACATTTAAAACGTAGTATTATTGGGATTTTTCGAAGTGACCAAATCAGTGCCTAGCATATGTTGTGATCGAGCGTGTGCGCCTCCTTATAATACTACGTTTGAAATATTACCAATGGGTTTACTTGTTGCAATTTGTGTAACAATACTTGATTTGAATATTTTAAACTACTAATTCATCATCTTTTTGAAAGTTATTACGCACATTTTACCTTTTTTTCCGAAGTGTCTAAATAAGTGCCAACCTGTAACAATTTATTATTCTCAAATACCACTACTAGGCTCAAGTACATTCATTGGATATTCACCTAGGCTAGTCTTTGTGGCTACTATTTTTATTTTCTGTCCTTTTAATTGTTTATAATTCCCATTTTCTATATTTTTCAAAGTGCCTGATTAAGTGCCTAGCATATGTTGTGATCGAGCGTGTGCGCCTCCTAATAATACTAGGTTTTAAATATTACCAATTGGTTTACTCGTTGCAATTTACATGATCAATATTTAATTCGAATATTTTTAATTAATTCATTATTTTTTTATAAGTTATTACGCCCATTGTACCCTCTTTTTCGAAGTGCCTAATTTTCAAGTGTCTACTTTTAGTCAGTCCCCCTCAAAGATATTACATACCGGTACCGTACAATCCACATTTTGTACTTCAATGAATAAATTTATATTTTTGTATGCTTTCTCCACCCCATCATATACCCTGTGACTCTAGTATTGTTTTAACTACGCTACCGGTAACACATCATTACTAATTTTAAACAAAGCATTGCCAATCCAGCGATCAGAATAATTTCAACGAATATAGAAAATTTAGCAATGTGGCAATGACTTGATGATAATTTCAACGAATATAGAAAATTTAGCAATGTGGCAATGACTTAATGAGCAGGTCATTTTCTGATTTTGCTTTTCATTTTATAAATATTGTTTCTCAAATAAAGGTGGACCTAAATGCCTTGATTACTAATTTATTATTGGACGCATACCTAATAAACAAATGTTTCGAACAAAATATTCACAGAATTTGCTAGAATTTTGTGCTCCGTTCTCAACATATTTAAATACTGTAAATTAAATATCGGTACTCACGTAACCAAGCCAGTGTGTAAGCTTCGCTATGAAAGGCGATTGCCCAGACATCCTTACAGCTTGACAGGTTCAACCCAAAGTGACTATAGCACAAGTGAGGACATGCATTGGTAACGTTATAAGCGCTCGTGTGACGTCACACTTGCCATGTTGTGTCCAGAGTTCTATCGCTGTATGATCCTAACTAAGTGATTTGAACCTGCGATCGTTAAACCGTAAATATATACTACTACGGTTAAACAGCTGATTAAAAAAAAAATCTCAATAATTCGGACCAAACATTCGCAGCAGCAAAACGAATGAACATTCTTCTGAAAAATTAATTTTCCGCAGATGTTTCTCAGATAACTCGGCTCGGCGGTATGGTCAGCATATACGAAGTTAAGGTTAAAGTCATCCAACTTAACTCGATAAATCAACACCCAATAAGACTAAAAATATTAAACAAAGAGATACACATTTTATTATAAGAGTTCCTGATGTAAGTATCGCCATTTGCACAGAACTTATTTTAACATGACAAGAACTACAATACAAATTACACTACAAAAACTTGTAACTATTTGTACATGATAAAATTTTCAACACGGTGTACAATCACCAAAATACACTTTTTAGAAAAAGATATTTCAGAAAAACACAATATAATAATCAGATACCATTTTCACAACCGTATCGTGATAACAAGAGAACTATGCCCAAATATATGGAAACGTTTGAAGTAAATGAAAGTAATATCCGTCTAAAGAAAATTTTATCTTTGAGCACTGAAAATTTCAGAGCAATTGGTCCAGTACTGAAAGAGAAAAGCGACTTTTTAGGTTCAGGTAAAAAGTGGGCTTGGCTTTCCACACGTTTTCTCACCTCTGAGGGGCGGAGGCACTTTCTCTACCCAATGCCACTTGAAAAATTACCAATACTTAGGCAAACGCTTTCCCGCTCCGAGACGGAATTTTAACGGCGCCTAAACGCCAAAATCACTCTAGCGTGACTTGATCGATTGCTTGAATGACAGGTAGCCTATTCCGGGCCACTAAAAGGCTGTTTTGGCCCACTTCACTTTGCCCGATCGTTCTGAAAATTCCTGTGTCAGTTTGGTAACACTTCCAGGGTTCACATCAAATTTCGTCCGGATCGGCCCGCCAGTTCTCTGGGAAGTGGTCACAGCCTTACCAGTACCTGTTGCTGTATGCCTGCTATTCGATCGTGGAACGGTTCTTTTCTGGCATATAAAAACTCAATTCAATTTGCTCTTATCAAAATTAACGAATACGGTAGGCTAGATTTGCAGGCTTAGTCACGCAACCGCTTGATATAAGTATGAAAACAGTGTTCTCATGAGTAAATTTTAAAACAGCGAATTCATAGAAAATTTAGAAATAAAAAAAAGTAATAGCCTTCTGGAACAAAAAATCAAACTTTAACTACTGAAAATTTCAAAGCAATTGGTCCAGTATTCGAAGAGAAAAGCGATTTTATAATGATAATGACGAAGAAGAAGAAGAACAATAAAAGAGTGCCAGCATAAAAATGAAAAACAATCGTTATGTCCACTACGTGTCCAATAAAATGTACGTTAAGCGTCTCTGTTTCTGTGAAAAAAAAGGGCTTTTATCTCCATCTGGCGGCAGGTTGAAATCTGTGAGGTGTATAACTTGAGCCACCGATTTGTCGATACATCATCTCAGCTTCTGGATCACCAATGTTGTCATTTTGCTTTAGCTATTTTCCCCTTTTCATTGGCACAACTTTTATATACAAGAGAGCTATGCTCAAATATATGGACACGTAGCACCACATAATTTTGATGACGCAAAAAATAAAAGTAACAGCCTTCTAGCAAAAAATATAATCTTAACTTACTGAAAATTTCAAAGCAATTGGTCCAGTAATCAAAAAGAAAAGCGATTTCTTCAAAACGTGTAAAAGAACAACAACAACATAATATTGAAACGATCGTTTTGTCCACTACGTGTCCAACAATAAAAAAAAAACGTCTTTTTGCCGACGAGGTCTGAGCCGCCGTCGCCACTGTGACATAATAATGGTCATTTCGACACAGCGTATTTGTACCATATAAGATTACACCACAATTTTAAGAGTGGTTCAAGTAAAGTTTATTTTTTCCAACCCGAGGAGTCTTTTTTGTGAAATATGTCATTCAAGAAACGGATTTGGTCTGATGACTATGTGCAGTATGGCTTTACCTGCTCACAGTATGTTCCCCAGGTTTTCTATTTTAATGGGTGTGTTTTCAAATTCAGGGAGTGGTAGATATTTTGTTATTAGTGATAAAACTATTTGTATTTTTGTTTTTGTATTTGACTGATTATCTTCACCGGCATGTGAGCCACCTTCTTAATATTCAAATGTATTTTTATTTACCTTAAAAATCAAAGTATGGAGTCACAGCGGAAAATTAGGGGGGTGTTTGAAATTTCAAGGGTAAGAATATCACTGCCTGCTCATCGGAACACAGCGTTCTCTGTGCATTCTTTGCAATGTTATATTGAGCATCTCCAGTCTAGCACCGGCTAAATTACGAAAACATTTTACGAGGTTGCGATCTTAGTTAAACAATTTGGGGTTCGACAGAAGCTTGCGGAATAGCGTATATGGGTTCGACAGGCTCACAAAAGTTAAGCCTAGCAAAAGCAGATAGACATAAAGTGCGTTCGCAATTACAAACACTGCTTCTAAACATATAAGCACAATTTTATTATTACATTTTCCATATATTTATAAAGTGATATTTCAACTCATCCAAATATTTTAACATTGATGAGCACTCCCTTTCATTTTTCAACACCAGTATCCTAAAGGGCATGGAGGAATTGCATTCGCTTCAACTGTCAAAATAAAAATTTAAAATTGTGTTAAATGCTAAAAAATTCTCATGTTCAGCAAATGAATAAACTGCAGCCTACGAAATTGCAGCATGTAGGATACCCGACGTAACAGAGCGTACACATCATAGAACAGTAAAATGAATTTGATTCGTATACACGTCATTTGCAACAATGAGAAACAATAAAACATTTAGAATAAATAAAATATGTAATATATTACGAGGCGCACTTAGCAAATCGCCTTCGGGAGCCGCTAGCTTAACAATTATTAAAGCCGGCATTGTTATGCAAGCACACGCAAATCGGGTCTTTCGATCAGAATATGCATTGTTATGCAAGCGCGGTGATTCTACTGTGTTTCCCCGAAAATTAAACCAAGCCCGAATTTTAGAAATTATTTTAATATAAGCGCTCCCATTTAAAAAAGACTTAGTCGATAGCGCAAATTTTTTTGACCTAATCCCGTGGAAGTGCGTCGTTTCAATTTTACTAGGACGTCGCAAAATTTCGTGATTCGTGAACCTTTCAAACAACCCATATTTTCTACTTTTACAGAAAAAGGGGAAGATTATATCGATCTTACCTGTGATGGTGTTACAATAAAAAAGCTTAATTCCGAAAATTCGATTTTCTGTAGATAAAGATTTTTTTTCTTGGTTCAAAAAGCGTTGCGGACAATAACCTACAAAACGAACATAAGCTGATTTTTAACATTATTAACACAATTTTAAATTTTTATTTTGACAGTTGAAGCGAATGCAATTCCTCCATGCCCTTTAGGATACTGGTGTTGAAAAATGAAAGGGGGTGCTCATCAATGTTAAAATATTTGGATGAGTTGAAATATCACTTTATAAATATATGGAAAATGTAATAATAAAATTGTGCTTATATGTTTAGAAGCAGTGTTTGTAATTGCGAACGCACTTTATGTCTATCTGCTTTTGCTAGGCTTAACGTTTGTGAGCCTGTCGAGTGTCGAACCCATATACGCTATTCCGCAAGCTTCTGTCGAACCCCAAATTGTTTAACTAAGATCGCAACCTCGTAAAATGTTTTCGTAATTTAGCCGGTGCTAGACTGGAGATGCTCAATATAACATTGCAAAGAATGCACAGAGAACGCTGTGTTCCGATGAGCAGGCAGTGATATTCTTACCCTTGAAATTTCAAACACCCCCCTAATTTTCCGCTGTGACTCCATACTTTGATTTTCAAGGTAAATAAAAATACATTTGAATATTAAGAAGGTGGCTCACATGCCGGTGAAGATAATCAGTCAAATACAAAAATACAAATAGTTTTATCACTAATAACAAAATATCTACCACTCCCTGAATTTGAAAACACACCCATTAAAATAGAAAACCTGGGGAACATACTGTGAGCAGGTAAAGCCATACTGCACATAGTCATCAGACCAAATCCGTTTCTTGGATGACATATTTCACAAAAAAGACTCCTCGGGTTGGAAAAAATAAACTTTACTTGAACCACTCTTAAAATTGTGGTGTAATCTTATATGGTACAAATACGCTGTGTCGAAATGACCATTATTATGTCACAGTGGCGACGGCGGCTCAGACCTCGTCGGCAAAAAGACGTTTTTTTTCATTGTTGGACACGTAGTGGACAAAACGATCGTTTCAATATTATGTTGTTGTTGTTCTTTTACACGTTTTGAAGAAATCGCTTTTCTTTTTGATTACTGGACCAATTGCTTTGAAATTTTCAGAAAGTTAAGATTATATTTTTTGCTAGAAGGCTGTTACTTTTATTTTTTGCGTCATCAAAATTATGTGGTGCTACGTGTCCATATATTTGAGCATAGCTCTCTTGTATATAAAAGTTGTGCCAATGAAAAGGGGAAAATAGCTAAAGCAAAATGACAACATTGGTGATCCAGAAGCTGAGATGATGTATCGACAAATCGGTGGCTCAAGTTATACACCTCACAGATTTCAACCTGCCGCCAGATGGAGATAAAAGCCCTTTTTTTCACAGAAACAGAGACGCTTAACGTACATTTTATTGGACACGTAGTGGACATAACGATTGTTTTTCATTTTTATGCTGGCACTCTTTTATTGTTCTTCTTCTTCTTCGTCATTATCATTATAAAATCGCTTTTCTCTTCGAATACTGGACCAATTGCTTTGAAATTTTCAGTAGTTAAAGTTTGATTTTTTGTTCCAGAAGGCTATTACTTTTTTTTATTTCTAAATTTTCTATGAATTCTATAGGATATGATATTTCATTCGAAAATTCGCTGTTTTAAAATTTACTCATGAGAACACTGTTTTCATACTTATATCAAGCGGTTGCGTGACTAAGCCTGCAAATCTAGCCTACCGTATTCGTTAATTTTGATAAGAGCAAATTGAATTGAGTTTTCATATGCCAGAAAAGAACCGTTCCACGATCGAATAGCAGGCATACAGCAACAGGTACTGGTAAGACTGTGACCACGGATTGAAAATTTCTATATGTGGATGTCATTATTATCATTTTAATTGGCATCGATTATCAGAATTTGATTGGGCCATTTCCACGGAATTCAATGTAGTATTTTTTATGTGTCGCTAACGAGGACGACTATTGTTAACTTTTTTCAAAATATCGGATGTACATTATGAGTATAGTGTATATAGCAAAAGGTTTCACCGTGGCATGTAAAATTTGAGAAACAGTGATATATATATATACACAGTGATGGGATTCAGCCGGTTCGCACCGTTTCTGTAGAAGCTTCTCACGGAATTTTATGAGATCAGCGTACCGGTTAGAATTACTGGTTACTGTCAATGTTCTGTTTGTAACAGAACTGGCTCAAAAAATGTGACTTTTGTGAAGGAACCGGCTGACAAAAAATTTGAACCTACCACTTCGCAGAGATGTTGATAGTTTTTTCTCACAGATGTGAAAAAATCATACAAATATAAGTCATCATTTTAATGAATAAGCACAAGTCACCCACGGATAAAAGCACTCATGAACATTCGTACCGATGGACATTTACACCAAAATAAATTTGCACCATTGACATCTGCACCAATGTACATTTGCACCCACTCATATTGTACCCCTGAACATATATCGCCACGTACAATTGCATCCACGCCACGGCCATTCGTACCATGTGACCACAAGATGGTGCCTTCTTGTAGTCATTTTGATGATTGTTTTCGTGACGTGTTTCAAAAATCTTGCAGGCCTGCGAAAATACGAAGAAGCATTGAAGACTATTCGAGAAGTGATGTTTTCTGAATTTGTGGGGGGGGGGGGAATTAAAATCATTAGCGACGAAAAGTGTAAAGACCTAATTCAACTCGAGCAGTATAAGTTGAGTCGAAGACGATAACAAGTTTTGCAAATTTACTTCTGCCATACGAATCGAACACAAGTTGGTCTCCAGACTCAGAAAACTCACTATATAGTATTAACAAATGTACATCGTTAAAAATTTTATGCCTGCCTTTAACCTATCTTGGATAATCTGATTTAGTTTTTATCGTAAAATACCATTTTATATATATCAATGAGACTATTTTGCGCGTAGGATACCAGTAGTGGCGTACCAAAAATTTCTGAAGGGAGAGGGGCATTTATAATTGAAAAATGTGTGATGATATAATATTCTGTATTGTACATATTGCAAAAATCCATTACGACGTCATATTCTTGTTTTTGAAATGCATTATGACGTTTAATGAACTTTTAATTTTTCACTAATATTAATATGACATCATAATTGGATTTCTACATTTTGTTCATTATACAGAAATGCAGTTATCAGAAACATTGCTTACTACGCAAATCGATTTGGAAATTGAAAACAAGTAAAGAGTTTAAAGCTGTATTAAGTCGTCGTGTAACAAAAACGTCATGACGTCATGATACACGTTTATAGTCGCGGAGGAAGGGCCTTTGGCTTTTAAATTGAAAAATACCTATTTAGAGATTAAAAAATTCAATAACTAGCACTACACACATTTGTGCTTCGGAGAGATGTTGATAGTTTTTTCTCAAAGATGGGAAAAAATACTAAATACTGTGATGCTACGATGTCACATATTTAGGTATATATCCGAAATAACTCTAAAATCTGATTTGCTTTACCCGTTTTGACAAAGAGGGATAAAGTTTTGAAAGATTTATCAAAAATCTTTATCTGATGCCTGAAGGTCATGTTCATATACTTGGTCTGTCGAATATCGCCGGTCTCGGAAGCACAACGAAAATATTCCATAACGACAAATTTCGAATATAAATAGGAAGAATAAACTCAAAAAAGGTGTTGAGCATGAATCTAATTTTCACATTTATAAACTCGTTTGATCCATTTTCTCGGGAACTAATGTCTGTTATAGTGTTTGGGCGAGGAAAAGGTGCTTTATACCCGGAGTGGGCACCAAGTAAAATATTAGTAATTCATTTCAACGACACAATGTTTGATCAGACAGGAATATCGTTTTTAACAGCCATACGTGGCTGAAATCAAGTCAGTGTATGTTTAAATTGATAGATATCACGCGATGCTCTGTGTTCATGTCAAACGCCTCACGTGATCGAATAAACCCTTGTGATTGGCTAATAATTAGGAAGCGATCGTGTCGCTTGTTCAAACTCGTACGCGCCACAGCTAAACTCTATTTCCAACAAAAATGTAATTTTACAAAATACCTCATTTGGATCTCCTACATCCGCCAATATGGCCCATAATATCTCTTATAAAGATGATGAATAGAATATCCTTCAATTGAATTTACCAAATACCGTTCACGAACTTCCAACTTTCACCAAAAAATAATCGACTAGCGGAAATCAAATCAATTATCCAATATATATTTCAGGATATTTCCATAGCGTATGGAATTTTAATGATATCAAATTCGAATAGAACTATAGTTTAAGTTCATTCCCAAGCTTTCTTTCATATCACGGATTGAAAATTTCTATATGTGGATGTCATTATTATCAGTTTAATTGGCAGCGATTATCAGAATTTGATTAAACCATTTCCACGGAATTCAATGTAGTATATTTTATGTGTCGCTAACGAGGAAGACTATTGTTAACTTTTTTCAAAATATCGGATGTACATTATGAGTATAGTGTATATAGCAAAAGGTTTCACCGTGGCATGTAAAATTCGAGAAACAGTGATATATATATATACAGTGATGGGATTCAGCCGGTTCGCACCGGTTCTATAGAAGCGCCTCACGGAATTTTATGAGATCAGCGAACCGGTTAGAATTACTGGTTACTGTCAATGTTCTGTTTGTAACAGAACTGGCTAAAAAAATATTACTTTTGTGAAGGAACCGGCTAACAAAATATTTGAATCTACCACTGTACATATATACAGTTTGAGTCATCATTTTAATGAATAAGCACAAGTCTCCCACGGATATTGGCACTCATGAATATTTGTACCAATGGACATTAACACCCAAGAAAATTTGCACCATTGACATCTGCACCAATGTACATTTGCACCCACTCATATTGCACCCCTGAACATATATCGCCACGTACAATTGCATCCGCGCCACGGCCATTCGTACCATGTGACCACAAGATGGTGCCTTCTTGTAGCCATTTTGATGATTGTTTTGGTGACATGTTTTAAAAATCTTGCAGGCCTGCGAAATTACGAAGAAGCATTGAAGACTATTCGAGAAGTGACGTTTTCTGAATTTGTGAGGGCGCAAATAAAATCATGAGCGACGAAAAGTGTGAAGACCTAATTCAACTCAAGCAGTACAAGTTGAGTCAAAGACGATAACAAGTTTTGCAAATTTACTTCTGCTACGAATTGAACACAAGTTGGTCTTCAGACTCAGAAAACTCACTATATAGTATCAACAAGTGTACATCGTTAACAATTCTATGCTTGCCTTTAACCTATCTTGGATAATCTGATTTAGTTTTTATCGTAAAATACCATTTTATATATATCAATGAGACTATTTTGCGCGTAGGATACCAGTAGTGGCGTACCAAAAATTTCAATACACGAAATTTATTATTACATTATAATTGGATTTCTACATTTGTTCTTCATACAAAATTGCAGTAATAAGGAACATTTCTCACTACACAGGTCGATTTGGAAATTGAAAACAAGTAAGGAATTTGAAGCTGTATTAAGTCGTCGTGTAACCAAAAACGTCATGACGTCATGATACACGTTTATAGTCGCGGAAGAAGGGGCTTTGGATTATAAATTAGTAAATAGCTACTTGGAAATCAAAAAATTTAATTACTAGCACTGCACACTCCATATTCATTTGTGCTTCGGAGAAATGTTGATAGTTTTTTCTCATAGATGTGAAAAAATCCCAAATATTGTGATATAGATCCAAAATACCTCTAAAATCAAATTTTTCCCCTCTCTGACGATAATTGGGATGAGGTTTTAAAAATAGGTTTATCAAATATCTTTATCTGACGCCTAAAGTTTATGTTCATTTTTTTGGTCTGTCGATTATTGCCGGTCTCGTTAGCAAAACGAAAATAGCGCATAAGAACAAATTTCGAGTATGAAAAGGTAGAATAAATTCAGGTAGAAAAAATGTGTTGAGCCTGACTCTAATTGTTACATTTATCAACTCGCTTGATCCAATTTCCCGAGAACTAATGTCTGTTATAGTTGTTGGGCAAGGAGAAGATTAACCGAAGGGGGCACCAAAAAAAATATTAGTAATTTATTAGTAGTTCGTACGAGTCACATCTAAACTCTAAATTTCCATCAAAAATGTAATTGTACAAAACACCTCATTTGAACACCTACATCCGCCAATATGGCCCATAAAAAGATAATGAATAGAATATCCTTGAATTGAATTTATCAAATACCGTTCACGAACTTCCAATTTCCACCAAAAAATAATCGTCTAGCGGAAATCAAATCAATTTTATAAATTAATCACAACATATATCAGAATATTTTAATAACGTATGGAGGTTTAATGATATCAAATTTTAATAGAACTATAGTTTAAGTTTATTGCCAAAGTTGCTTTCATATCACGGATTGAAAATTTCTATATGTGGATGTCATTATCATCAGTTTTATCACCATCGATTATCAGAATTTGAATAAGCTATTTCCACGGATTTCAATGCAGAATTATTTTTTATGTGTTGCCACGGGAAAGACTATTGTTAACTTTTTTTCGAAATATCGGATGCAGAAGTGTATAAAAAGCCGTTATTTCTCACTGCAAATCACAGTTTCGTCGAATCAAACTCAGACAAACAACAGGAAAGATGAAAACAACAATTTTGATTCTTCTCATACTGGGACTTGGCATCAAGTAAGTTACATCTAACAAATATTTGTCAATCTGTTTTTACTTACTTACCCTTAATATGGAATGTTGAAAAAATTGTCAAGTGAATCCATTCGCATGGCCGAGATAATCATTCCAATTAACCAACTTCCGCAAAGAACATTGCACCTCACAATTTAATGCATTATTAAACCTAAATATGCATAACAATGAATATTTTATGACAGTCGACTTAGCTCAATTTTTAAACGGCAATAATCAGTAAATGAAAAACACATTTGTTTATACATGTTCCATTGATCCCATGCCGAAAAGAGACACGGTGCCTCTACGGACAATGACGAAAAAATTGCGCAGAAGTACTCTCCGACTGGTCCAAAAACTCAAAACAATGTTTCTTTTAGTTTGATTATCAATTTATATGTAGCATTTTTTAAATAACATGAAAATACTATGTAGTATTTGCAAATATATTAGTAATTTTCCTAATGTCAAAAATTATCTTTTTTCAGTGCAAAATCTCTGGAGGAAAGTGAGTTGCAAATTATATTTTAATTATAACACATTTCTATTTATTTCTTCTCTTTATGAGTCTGCAGCGAGATTGTAACATATTTATTTACTGCACCCCCTCTCCTTCTGACCACGCCATCCAAAAACCACGCCATTTCGACGTCACGATCATATCAAAACGAGGGAGGTGGCTGGATTGAATGAGTTTGTTATCATTGTCGCAGACGCCAAATCGGGAGCTCGTCGCTCTATTGTGGCGAGCTGTAATGTCTGGATGGCGTAGCCAGGCGAGGGTAATAAATTAAACATGCAAAAATTGTTTTTCCACACTCACTCGAAGTATTTGTGCTATTAAACTACACTAGATCCTGTGATGGTAGATATTCCATAGTTCCATCTTCGTTCAGGTGTGATTTGGGGGAAATTAGGCGTAAAATATTTCGGTCTTCGGGATTTTTTACGGCTTTGGCTCATGAAATTGCTCCTTCGTCTGTACAATTGTTCACATTGGCCCGGAATTCGAACAATTTTCTGAGTTAACTCCATCTTTTACTAGGAAAATCGGAGGAAGAGAAAGCATTCAAACTCCTTGGCAGAATTATTCATCATGTTGGCAATTTTGTATATGGTTTTAGCCACGTGTTCGGCGACGACCAACAAGATAATGGAAAGTTTTATGGCCACTACGCAGAAGACAATGGCAAGCATTGGTATGATACCGGGGATCAATAAAAAAGTTTTAAACAGCTACGCGACTTGAAGACGGACGGACCCGGCAGAACATTGATATTTCTTGTTTTCTTTGATTAAAGGCTAGCCTTATTACTCAGAATATAACACTACATTGCATTCAACATTTGTATGTTTATTGTGTTTGGAGTGATGTTTTGGGAAATTTGGCACAAACGGGTTTTATCAAGAGGCGTAGACGATTCCGTTTTTATTAACCAGAAGAACAGGGGGCATAACGTCAACTATATTCTGATTCTGTCACTACCCACTGATATAAACATACCCACCAAGTATCAACTAGTGTGCCGAAACTGGCATCCCACGAAGGCATTTTAGAGTAAAAGTTTTATTATACCAAAAATGAGAGCAGAAGTTGTAGCCGGATTGTTTTAACCTACTGTCGGATTTGATTATTTTGTGAACCAGGTGTCAGAACCGGATTTCGAGTAAGTTCGAAGGTTGTTTCACTGACATCCTTCCCTGCAGAATTTAGATCAGGTTAGTTAAAGTCTGATTTGAAGCAAAACTTCAAATCTATGTTGTAATAAAAACTGCATAAAGGTGGGGCGGATTCCACAAAGTCGAGGTTCTCAATAAAAACATTTAATATATATAGATATATATTTGGTTATTTTACCAACGAGCATGATCTTAGTGAAAGTTTATACATTCCGATGATATATGATATAACCGATGAGAATACGCAATGATAATTTTTCCTTTAAAAATTTAGAATAGCAACATCTTATATATATCAAGCATTCATTTATTGCTTGTAATTGATACACTTCAATGTAATGGGTGCAATCGCTAGGCTTCTACCAGTTTATCCATTTTAGGATCTGGTTAGGACAGTGCTCTTATATCATGTCTCATTTCCAGTATGGTTTGCAATTATTATTTTAATAGCGAGTATAGCCTAACGCGCCAGAAACAGGCACACCCGAAAACAAGAGTTTTTCGTGCCTTTCACGATCTAATTCTTGCGGAATAGCGTGCATATATAATAAAAACCTATAATATATAAATAATATAAATATATAATATATACTAAAACTTTCTTCAGAACTTTTCCTTTTGAAAGCCATTTTGCGTGTGAGTGCAACAAGGTAGTTTCGATTCAGAATCGCGTTCTTTGAACAGACGGAAATTCAGTGCGTCCTCTCTTTATGCGAACTGATTTCTAACATAAAGACTTGACCTAAATATACAATCCACACTGTGCACTTCAGATTCTTGACAACTTACAATCACGTGCATATGCTTTTTATAAACAATGATCGGCATTTATATAGGGCAGGGGTGACCAATCGCCACAAAAATTCGTATTTGTTATGCCCCATTTAATTTGATGGTGTATTCGTACCCGGAGTAAATGTTTCATCATTTATTTAAGATTTATTCATATGATACAATTTAGATCTAACACATGCCTAATTTTTATTCGTAAGTGTTGAAAATTCTTCAAAAAACATTGCTTAGTCTCCATGTATTATCTAAACAGCGAAAAATAATCATTCCCAGATCATAAATGTTACATGACTGCCCAAACTTCAGTATCTAATTTACAATTTCCACCGAGTCCAATTCTTCGTTCGATTGGAATTAGAAAATATTGTGATTGCCACTACTATCGTTGCGAATAAAATATATCAAACTACTCTTGGAGCAAGATAATAACTTCCGTATACTGCAGATATACGCCAAGTTAGCATTTTTAACGTAATAATATGCTCTATCGGACTTGTCCAGCCTCAAATACTATATGTGTATATCGTATTTTGCGCATGCACAGTACAGTATCATTTCTGTTTTAAAATACACAACATGCGCTGCATGGAATGGTTCAAAGAAATTTTTCGAGGTATTATATTAAATTCACCCAACTCCAGACACGATCGACTATTCGAGACGTGGCGATCGATCGGACGATCGCGATCGACTTGTTGGCCACCCCTGATATGAGGTATCTGTATTTTTCACGTTGAACAATGTTTGTTAAAATTGTTATACGTAATAAAATTTTTAAAATGGAGTGGCCTTTTCAAGAAACTGTACTAGCATGTCGTCAAAGTTTACTCGACGGTGCTTGTGTGTCACAGTCGAGAAACCGCTTCGGGGTCCTACTAAAACTGCTTTGCAGATCCCTACTTCTATTCATTATTTGAACATCATTTGCGATAATGGTCAGACTTGTCCAGTTCCGAGCAGTTTTGCGAGTCCAAAAAAAAAAATTGGTTTCAAATCAAACCTTCGTTAGCACACATCATAACAAGTATGGATGCTACAATTTATTCCACATACAGATAACAAATATTTGAATAGGCAGAGATTGTTTGTGATTATTAATCGTCGACCAAAAATACAAGATATGTCTAATAGTGTTTTAAAAAAATTGTAAACTGTTCATATTCTATTCAATCATTCTCCTCTGAATATTATTTTAACAAGGATTTCTTTTGCATGCTTGCATCTCTCCACGTTTGTTACTGGCATACGGCATCATACGTTTTCGACTTCGACTTTTGTGTCCACTTCCACATGTCACGAAACAAGGTCCCAAGGATGACCATCAAGAGAAAAAATCGAGAACTGGAATTTTTTTACCCAAAACATTTTTTATATAAAAACGAGAATACTGAAATTAACAAGAGAAAGTGAAACAGTTTTTAAAAAGCAAGACATACTAAATAGTGAAAATATTGGATATACAGACTCAACTACAATTATGAGTGGCGACTGGGAAATTCGTGCATATGAGATCATAAAACAATACTTTGAAACAATGAGTAAAATTTAATAAAAACAAAAGTCTAGATCTATTTAGCTATATTTTTTGTATTAGATCCTGAGACGTATCAATGATGCTCAAATTTGATGAAAAGCGACTTCTTCAAACTTATGATTACGTTTAATAGCTTGGGTTTCAAATAGGATTGAAAGACTGACGAATTTAACAAACTTTAATTACAGAGATATATAATTTAACTGTAACATACATCTGTTGGCACAAGTCGAACATTTTCTTGTTAGCTCTACGCCCAAACAATATGTGTACGGCAGGAGTCGGCAAACTTTTGTCGCTCGCGGGCCAAATTTAAGGATTGCATGTCATTGGCGGCCTCACATATTTTTAGAAAGTGGAAAACCGAACGGATGATACTTTTTATAATAAAAATAAAGCAGTGATACATCTCTCGAGTAGAGTATAGATTTATTTTCTCATTGCAATGCTTCTCAAAAATTCCATCTGAATATTTTCGGTACCATTGAACCCTTTGCACTTAGCATCAACTTTTCCGCGTTTTGATGCCATTTGTCTAATTATAAAAAAAATTATAGGCTCATGAAACGAGTAATTGTGAATTTTATATTTGTTAGATTATGATATAATTTAGTCTACACTTGTCTCACACTAAATCCTGTTACGTAAAGAATCAAAACAGCTATTTTGTTAGTATAATTCAGTGAAGCGTCGCGGGTCGGATTATATTACTTCGCGGGCCGGATCCGGCCGTAGGTTGCCGACCCTTGGTGTACGGTATTGGACACCGGTTCCACAAGTCTTCTAACATTTTGATCATTTGGATTTCCCATTTGTGCCTGAAATGCATAGAACTTGACGGGTATGACCATCGCCATTAAAGCACTAAAAGATATGCCCACCAAATATATTGTCCGCTAATAGGCGACATTTTTAACTATGCCATTGTACATTACTTCTCGTCTGAAACAGTTCTCAATTATCTTGATACAAATCATCTCAGTTATCATTCAGGCGGGAGATATTTGACAACATCAAACTAGATTTCAACTTAATTACCAGCACACATTTTGCGCAGCTTTTTATTTTGTGAATTATGACAGTGAGTTGTCCGTGGTTAATACTAAATATTGAGTTTTCTGAGTCTGGAGACCAACTTGTGTTAGATTCGTAGCAGAAGTAAATTTGAAACGCTTGTTATCGTCTTTGACTCAACTTGGACTTCTATTGTACCATAAAGTTTTTTTGATATGATAATAAATCTTTATTCTTTAAATAAATACATCATCTAGGCCAGGGCTTCCCAAACTAGGGGCCGCGGCCCTGGAAGGGGCCGCGAAACGAATTTTAGGGGCCGCAAAGAGAGCACCAATTTTACACAAAGTACTATATCTATTGTACTTTTCCAGACTCTTGATTCGAAATACAATTATTAAGAATAATGTGAAACAAAAATTTCACGATTCCTAATGAACACATCATCATACTGTGTAAATAAGACAGTGTCTTCAATTTTATTTCGAAAATAACACTAGGGCTTATTTTGGGAGGATGTAGAGAATAACGAGATTTTTTATTATGCCAAATATGAATACCAATTTCCATTACTTATAAATAGCACGGCTTCATTTAAAATAACTGTTACATATAGATTATTAACTATTTAAAAAGTAGAAAAAGTAGAATTTTTTTGCTATCGACTAGAACTCAGTGGTTCTCGAACTTCATTGTATTGCGACGCCCTCCAAAAATATGCTCAAGTCACGACTACCCTTGAAAATACGTATTGATACCTTTCAATAAAAGACTTTTTTTGCAATGAGTTTCATATGAAGGAACAAACAAAACATAACGACAGTCAGTGAAATCATACTTAATGGGCTTTGGTAGAAAAGTCTGCTTTATATAAAAACGAAATCGCAAAGGGGATAGGAGTCCGCAACGCTTTTTGAACCAAGAAAAAAAATCTTTATCTACAGAAAATCGAATTTTCGGAATTAAGCTTTTTTATTGTAACACCATCACAGGTAAGATCGATATAATCTTCCCTTTTTTCTGTAAAAGTAGAAAATATGGGTTGTTTGAAAGGTTCACGAATCACGAAATTTTGCGACGTCCTAGTAAAATTGAAACGACGCACTTCCACGGGATTAGGTCAAAAAAATTTGCGCTATCGACTAAGTCTTTTTTAAATGGGAGCGCTTATATTAAAATAATTTCTAAAATTCGGGCTTGGTTTAATTTTCGGGGAAACACAGTAGAATCACCGCGCTTGCATAACAATGCATATTCTGATCGAAAGACCCGATTTGCGTGTGCTTGCATAACAATGCCGGCTTTAATAATTGTTAAGCTAGC